ATGAAGAAGAAGAAGAAGAAGAAGAAGAAGAAGAAGAAGAAGAAGAAGAAGAAGAAGAAGAAGAAGAAGAAGAAGAAGAAGAAGAAGAAGAAGAAGAATGGAAAGAGAGAAAGAAAGAAAGAAAGAAAGAAAGAAAGAAGAAAGATTGGTCCCAAAAGACAACCTGTTTTTCTGTACTTGACCATTTACATCCCCTTTGTAGCGTAGTGCCTCCCACCAGACACTAGAGGGCAGCAGGCACCGTTCCTTCCTGCTTCGCTCTTCCCTAAATGCTGTAGTTTTTATATTCAATTTTCCTTGCTTTGACATGCTGTGAACTGCCTGTAGGGCTTGCCAGGCAAAGCCCGTCAAATTTAAGGAGAAGAGACTGTGCCCGGCGGCGTTCCTCCTTCCAGGCACCCACTTACGTTGCAGCCGGATTTGATGTCTCCCCCAGCGCAGACCATGCTACGTTTGACGGAGCCTCCCCACCAGTCAGGCTTCCTGCAGTGGTCGTAGTCCACCACGGGCAGCAGAGCCTGCTGCAGCTTGGCCGGCAGAGGCCCTCCAGCTGTGGAGAGAAACAGAGTCAGGGCTTCCAGCCAGGCCTCACTGGAGCCCCCCTCCCCACCTGCGGAGAGTACCCCACGTACTGGAAATACGTCCCCAGCCGGTGATGTAACAAGAGTATCCATTGGGCAGGACGGTGTCTGGCTCGGGAAGGCAGCCCAGTCCGACTTTGTCGTTCAGTTGTGGCCGGCGGGAGAGTTTCAGTAGTGCGATGTCATTGCTGGAACAGAAGAGTGGCTAGGGCAGAGGTGGCCTTCAGCCGGTTCTGACCGGTTCTAGAGAACCGGTAGCGAAATTTTGAGTCGCCGGGAGAACCGGCAAAAGAACCACCTCCTGACTGGCTCCGCCAACCCCATATCTCTTCTCTGCCTCCCATCGAGTCCCAGCTGATCGGCTGGGTCTCCTTGGGTTGCCCTGCCCAGGAGAACGGAGCTGGAAAGCAGGTTAGGGGTGAGTGGGGCAAGGAATGGGGATTTTGCAGTATATCGTTCCCCTGCCACGCCCACCGAGCCACGCCCACCGAACTGGTAGTAAAAAGTTTTTTTGAATCCCACCACTGGGGTTGGGGGGATGCTGGAGGCTTTCCTTCTGCACCCCTACATGTCGGACGCCTTCACCTACCCGCAGGCCACACAGCTGGGGTTCCAGCTGGGATTCACGAAGATGTCTTTGGAGTTGATGGGCACGTGCTGCTCAGGGCTTTCCTTGACATTGAGGTTGTACTCCCCCAGCACCACCTTATACCTGCGGGATCGCCTGTGGAAGAAATCGCCCAGCGGCTTTCAGAGGGCAGGAAAGACCCCCACCCTCCGCAGTCCAGAGGGGTGGGCAACTTCATGCCTTTCTTTGGAAAAAGAAGCTAAACACCAGGACCAGGGGCTCCCAAAGGTGCTTTTGACCTGGACAATGGGGAATCTCTGCCCCGGGCTCTAACCTCAGCCTGCGGCAAGGCTACAGGGCGAAAAGAAGAAAAACTGGCCCTAAACAAAGGGGGAGGGAGGGAAGGAAGGAAGGAAGGAAGAAGGAATGGAATAAAATAGAATGGAATCAGGAGGGAAACAAATGAAAAGGAGGAGCTAGAAATGAGAAGGAGGAAAGGAGGAAGAAAATAGATGAAAAAAAGAAAGCAAGGAAGATGGAAGGAAGGAAGGGAATGAGGAGGGAAAGAAAGGAGGAGGAGGAGGAGGA